TCAGAATTAATTTTCTACAAGAACTACAGTGTTTCCAAAACCAGTTACTTAATGAAGGAGGAGAGGAGCAAGAGAAGGATAAGGACAAAGCCACTGATGAAACAATCTGCCATTTTCCACTCCTCCTTTATCCTTACTGTAAGTACAAATAAAGACAATAATAAAAAACAACCAACACCACATTACACCATGCTAATACAATCCTGTATAGACTCCATAAAGTGTAAAAGTACATCATTCACTACTCTTGCAAGTCTCTGATACAAAACCTACAGTAACTACCAATAGGATAGCTCAGTTTCACAAATCTGTGCAAACTTTAGTGCCTCAAAAATTAGGAAATACAAGATCATAGAATCATAGAATAATTAAGGTTAGAAAGGACCTTAAGATCATCCAGTTCCAACCCCCATCATGGGCAGGAACACCTCACACTAAACCATATCACCCAAGGCCTCGTCCAGCCTGGTCTTGGAACACTGCCAGGGATGGAGCATTCACAACCTCCCTGGGCAACCCATTCCAGTGCCTCACCACCCTAACAGGAAAGAATTTCCTCCTTGGATCCAATCTAAACTTCCCCGTTTAAGTTTTAACCCATTACCCCTTCTCCTATCATTACAGTCCCTAATGAAGAGTCCCTCCCCAGAAACTCTATAGGCCCCCTTCAAATACTGGAAGGCTGCTGTGAGGTCTCCACGCAGCCTTCTCTTCTCCAGGCTGAACAGCTCCAACTTCTTCAGCCTCTCTTCATACAGGAGGTGCTCCAGTCCCCTGATCATCCTCGTGGCCTCCTCTGGACTTGTTCCAACAGTTCCATGTCCTTTTTATGTTGAGGACACCAGAACTGCCACAATACTCCAGGTGAGGTCTCACAAGAGCAGAGTAGAGGGGCAGGATCACCTCCTTCAACCTGCTGGTCATGCTCCTCTTGATGCAGCCCAGGATACAGCTGGCTTTCTGGGCTGTGAGTGCACACTGAAGCCGGCTCATGTTCATTTTCTCATCAACCAACACCCCCAAGTCCTTCTCTGCAGGGCTGCTCTGAATCTCTTCTCTGCCCAACCTGCGGCTGTGCCTGGGATTGCTCCGACCCAGCTGTAGGACCTTGCACTTGGCATGGTTAAACTTCATGAGGCTGACATCAGCCCACCTCACAAGTGTGTCAGGGTCCCTCTGGATGGCATTCCTTCCCTCCAGGGTATCAACTGAACCACACAGCTTGGTGTCATCGGCAAACTTGCTGAGGGCGCACTCAATCCCACTGTCCATGTCAGCAACAAAGATGTTGAACAAGACCGGGCCCAACACCGATCCCTGAGGGACACCACTCGTTACTGGTCTCCAGCCGGACATTGAGCCATTGACCTCAACTATTTGTGTGCGGCCATCCAGACAGTTCTTTACCCACCGAGTGGTCCGTCCATCAAATTGATGTCTCTCCAATTTAGAGACCAGGATGTCGTGTGGGACAGTGTCGAACGCTTTGCACAAGTCCAGGTAGATGACATCAACTGCTCTACCCCTGTCCATCAGTTCTGTAGCCCCATCATAGAAGGCCACCAAATAGGTCAGGCAGGATTTCCCCTTAGTGAAGCCATGCTGGCTGTCACCAAGCACCTTGTTGATTTTCATGTGCCTTAGCATGCCTTCCAGGAGAATCTGCTCCAAGATTTTGCCAGGCACAGAGGTGAGACTGACTGCTCTGTAATTCCCCAGGTCATCCATTTTCCCCTTCTTGAAAATGGGGGTTATATTTCCCTTTTTCCAGCCATCAGGAACTTCACCTGACTGCCACGATTTCTCAAATATGATGGCCAGCGGCTTCGCAACTCCATTCTCCAGCTCCTTCAGGACCCGCGGATGGATCTCATCAGGACCCATGGACTTGTGCACGTTCAGATTTTTAAGATGGTCTCGAACCAGTTCCTCTCTTACAGCGGGTGCAAGGTCTTCATTCTCACAGTCCCTGCATCTGCCTTCCAAGACTTGGGTGGTGTGGTCAGAGCCTTTGCCAGTGAAGACCGAGGCAAAGAAGTCATTCAGAACCTCAGCCTTCTCCAAATCCTGTGTAGGCAGTTCTCCCAAGAGCTTCCTGAGGGGGCCTACATTCTCCCTTGTCTGTTTTTTATTTGCTATGTACCTGTAGAATCCCTTCCTGTTATCCTTAATACCTCTAGCTAAGTTTAATTCTAACTGGGCCTTAGCTTTCCTAACCTGGTCCCTAGCTTCCTGGACAACATCCCTGTACTCTTCCCATGCCACCTGTCCTTGCTTCCACTTATTATAAGCCTCTTTTTTCAACTGAATTTTCCTCAGGAGCTCCTTATCCATCCAAGGAGGTCTCCTGGTCCTCCTGCTGCACTTCCTTCTAGTTGGGATGCAACACTCCTGAGCTTGCACCAGGTGATCCTTGAATATCAACCAAGAGTCTTGGGCCCCCTGCCCTCTAGGGCTTAAGCAGGTTCCTGAAGAGGCCAAAGTCTGCTCTTTTGAAGTCCAGTGCAGTGAGCTTGCTGCATGCTCTTCTCACTGTCCTGAGGATCTCAAATTCAAGCACCTTGTGATTGCTGCATCCAAGGCTGCCCTGAAGTGTCACATTTCCAACAAGCCCTTCCCTGTGGGTGAGCACGAGGTCAAGCACGGCACCTCTCCTTGTCAGCTCCTCTATTACTTGCAGAAGGAAGTTGTCTTCCACACGATTGAGGAACCTCCTGGATTGCTTGCGCCGGGCCGTACCGTCCTTCCAACAGATGTCAGGGTGGTTGAAGTCACCCATGAGACCATGGGCCTGCGAGCGTGAGGCTTTTCCTATCTGTCTATGGAGTGCTTCATCTGCAGGTTCTCCTTGATCAGGCAGTCTGTAACAGATCCCCACAGTAATGTGTCCCATAGCTATACTCCCTTTAACCCTGACCCACAAACTCTCTGTGGACTGCTCACCTGTCCCCAGACAGAGTTCCAAGATGCCACTACAAGTTTAGTTAGAAGCATTGCTGTTGGTTATAGGTCATCACTGGCTCACACCTAGGCCCAGAATTTAGTTAGAAGCAATAGGTTTGCAAGTTCAAGGATACAGGAGATTCTCCTACAAACTGTGTATCTCAAGTGCTTCAACAAGCTAGCCAAAATAAATGCAGGCTCATTAAGCATGTCTAAGAGAGTTAACATCATTCCAATGCTTTTATACCTGCCTTTCAAGAACAGCACATACTTAAGGTAAAGACAGAAAAATCAATTAAATTAATAGAAGAATTCTAAATGGACCTGTTATAGTTGTAGAAATAAAGCCATTTGATTAATGCCTACTATTAGACTATTGAACAAAGTATTGGACCAAAGGTCAGGCACTTCACACATGAAAATTGCAGGTGCTTTTGCACAACATTCAGGATTTGCTTCACCTGGTTTGGGCTTGTGAAATAAATATGGATGCAGCCCAGCTACTTAAGTACAAGTTACAATCCAGGCAAAACCATTAAAGTAATTGAATGCACTTCAGGTTCAGTGCTTGCATTATTTACTATTTGAAAAGATAACTCAAGTTGGGCAATACTTCGGCATTTAGTCAAACTGTTCTGCCATTTGTCATTGGCAAGTTTGACCTACAGGAAGGTGCCATTACAATTAATGTCAGTGAAACAAGGCTGGTGCACTACATGAAAAATACCGTCTTAGTGTTCTCAGGTGAGCATCCAAAATGAAGACTATTCTGCATGAATTAGTCTGGAGTAGGTAATGTCCCATTTCACAAGTGAGATAAAAAGAGAATAGACTTCCTAGTGTCTAAATAGCAAGCTTGAACCACACCACAGATCCACACATTAAACATGCAGAAAATAGTCCAGTAAATATTACAGAACTTTTCAGAGCACCAGCCATCCGATACTCTGGTAAAGCAAGTGTCCTGGGTTCAGCAGTAGCAGTCATTTTTCCCCTTCTTGGTAGCTGGTGCAGTGCAGTGTTTTCTCGGGAACAGAGGATACAAGGATATTTTGGTTTGGCCAAGGACTTTGTGAGCCTCATGCTCTGCCAGGGAGGAGGGGAAGCCAGGAGGAAGCAGAGACAGGACACCTGACAAACTGACCAAAGAGCCATACCACAGCACGTCATGCCCATGTAACTGGGAGTTAGCCGGAAGGGCTGGGAGACTGCAGGGTTGGAGGAGGTATCGGTCGGAGCTTGGTCGGGCTGGGGGGGCGAGTTATCGGTCGGCTGGTGGTGAGATGATGTATTCTCTTCCCTTGTTATTTCCTTTATCATTATTATCATTGGTGGTAGCAGTAGTGATTTGTGTTATACCTTAGTTACTAAACTGTTCTTATCTCAACCCGTGGGAGTTGCATTCTTTTCGATTCTCCTCTCTGTCCCTCCAAGAGCAGGGGGAGGGCAAGAAAAGGGGGGGGAAGTGAGTGAACGAGTTACCTGACTGGGTTTAAACCACGACAGCAAGGATCTACTAGCACCAACAACAGCCTGGTAGCTAGCAACCCAATTTTCATTCAGCTGTATTTACTGGATGACCTATTCTCCTGCTCAGTGCTGACAGTTACCTACATAGTGGCCACTGATCTTTGTAAGTAAATATTATTGTCAGATATCAATCATTAGGCTATAGGAAGTGAAGAAAACTTCACCACATACCAGTATTTGTGTTTCTGTTAGGGTAAAAGGAATTCTGAGAAGTTCTGATACCTCTCAAGTCATTAGAATATCATTTTTATAAGAAAACAGGCTTTTCACTCACTATTTAAAACGAAGCTGTAAGGTTAAAAGTTCACTAAAATAAAGCAGCATTATTTCAAGAAGGACCATACCCTAAAGTTTCACTTCCCCCCACCCCGCTCCTTATAACTCTCATCCACCTTGCAAATCAGTGCAAACTTAAATAACTGAATTCTGGCTCATCTACATTCTTGAATTTGTTATGTAGTTTTGAGTTATTTTTAACCTACTTTGCATTTCACATTTATTACAATGTTATTTTGGTAGATCCTTACCAGATTAATATTGTACGTTTTACACGTCAGATCATCCAAGCTCTGGTTCTGCAGCTTTTCTGTTATTAGTGTTACCATGGTAGTTGTTCCTTTTCCACTGCTCTCACAGAAGTGTTGGAGGCTTTTCGGTCTCTTCTTTCAATACTCATGAGCCATTTCTGGTTTGGTTTTAAGTCTTGAGATTTATGCTTCCATTTTATTGCCAAAGTTTATTTCCAGATGCTGTCAGTGTATCATGTCTGATTTTCTGTAAAATTGAGGCAAAAAAAGGGAAAAGTCAGAACAATTCTTGTGTACATCGTAATTACTGTTGTAATTACAGGACTCATGTTTGGACCATTTGTTCATACAAGTACAGCACTCTGTGACCAACACTATTGCCTGGCATTTCACATTATATGTCTATTCGTGAAGGAATATGCCTACTGAGATTCCACTGAAGACAACTTTAGAAGGGAGATGAGAATCACGCATAGTAAAGACTAGGATATTATTTGGCAGTTTCCTATATTAAACTGATTCTACCTAGGATTTTTATCTGAGGCAGAAGGAAAGACTTAAACTTTTCCTCCTTTAAACTACTACTGAAGTCTTAGGTATATGAGAACAGTGTGTGAAAGACGCAGATACCTACCATACTGTTCTGTATGTTTAACACTATATGCTATTTTAAGACATTCTACCATATTTCATCACTAAATCTTTCTTTAAAAAAAGGCTGGAGCAGTGGGTACCTCAAATGCTACATCCACTTTCCAAACCCTCAGCTACTTTCAATATATTCCCTGCGTTTTCTCTTTTTTAAAGGTTATGTAATTGCTACCTGTCAGCAAACACAAGATTTTAAACTTGTAAGCACGACAGATTACCATACACATAAAAGCATCACTGACAAAAGCTTAGATACCTTTATTCTGTGAGCAGTCAGCTAAATCAAAAGCATTGGGTTCACTGGCTGCCTCTTTCTATCCCAAACATTCTCTACATAAATTATCCTCCCTTCTCTTCCCTTAGTATCAGTAACCCTTAACTGCTGCAATATCATTCCTGTCTTCTAAAAGTCTTTATTAGCTGATGGTTTTTACCACAGCAAGTGGACCTCTGTACTGTCTTCAACTCCACCTCATTCTTCCAACTCTCAAGAACCACCCACCAACAAAACCACAGAACTTCAGCTTCTTCATTTTCCTTCTCCTATCACAGCATCTTTTAGGCTCACACAGTTCTCAAATTCACTTCCAGTTTCCAAAAGCAAGTCTACATTAGTATTATTCATAATTTCTTCACAATACATTCAGCAAACTCCTATTCCCATGACTCCACACACAGGTACTTCCAAATTTAAACAAAGCAACATGAGTCTGAAGGATGGAACACTGATGCCACTAGGCCCAGAAGTTTACTTCTGTTTGCTAGGTTTCAAAGTCTACAATAAATAGCAGATAATAACCCTAAATGAATGTTTCCATAAAATATTGTCTCTTCTACACTGCTACTTATCAGCTGTTTAAATAACCAGTAGCTGCAAGAAAAAAAAAGCTGCGAGTCCATGACCCAAGTTAAACCCATTTAAAACTAAGATATTAATAGCATTAATGGTAACATTAGATTATCTTTTAAACCTGTTGCCTTTGAGAACATCCTCAAATATGATTTTAACATGCTAACCATGCGCTATTTCACCTTCACAGGTGTCTGATACATAAAAGCCTCCCCCTGAGCCTGAGAGCTGTTTCACAGCCATAGACTATGCCCATCTTTCAGCCTCATTCTTGTATCTACTTTTAAGTGCTAAACAGGATGCTTATAAGTGCTCTTCAACCACAAATAATGCTACCCAGATGCCTGGAGATTTCACTGGTCTGTTTTTACAGAACATGTCCTGTCTTTCAGGAAAGAACCCAACAACTTGAAATACCAACCACATCTTGTTCTGAAATTACATCAAGTCAAGTATCAAAAGCACTCAAATTCAATCACCTCCTGGCTGCATATACCCTTTTCAATGTAAGCATCTGCCAAAGAAAAGTGGGGATCATGCAAGTTAAGGGCAAGTGTGTGAATGGAGCAGTATTTCGCAAAAACAAACCTTGTAATGTCACAGGATCACAAAATCATAGAATAGTTAGGGTTGGAAAGGACCTCAGTATCATCCAGTTCCAAGCCCTCTGCCATGGGCAGAGACCCCTCACACTAAACCATGCCACCCAAGGCTTCATCCAACCTGGCCTTGAACACCACCAGGGATGGAGCATTCACAACCTCCCTGGGCAACCCATTCCAGTGCCTCACCACCCTTACAGTAAAGAATTTTTCCTTATATCCAACCTAAACTTCCCCTGTTTAAGTTTTAACCCATTACCCCTTGTCCTGTTCGAAACTTGGTGAAATTAAAACTAGACCCAGAAATCCAGAAAACAAAGGCTGTGTCAGAGATATTCCATATGCAGACTGAAAACATACTGAAGAGCTTAGTAACAGGCACAAAGACTTCCAGAGTCATTGTAAGGATTAGTATTTCCACACCTAAGAGGCTACTACTAAGAACCAGCTGAGAAGTTCAGCAGGTATTTAATTACTTTTCTGTTTGGAAGAGCCATGGATGAATTTGTTCCTTATGGGAAAAAGCAAAACCAACAAAGCTACCAAAACCAAGGGAGGAACAACATTTGGTCTCTAATTAGTTAACTATAATGCAGTTATGTTTTGCTTAGCTCTTATTTTCAATGTTTAACTGAAATTTTAAGTCAGCATGATACAAGCTAGAATAAGGAGAGAACAGAAGGACATCACTCTTTAGTTAATGAACCAATAAATTCAGTTGCCTGAAAGGATACAGGGGATGCAAATGAAATCACAGAGGCATGGCACTTTCAGAATCAAGCCGAATAGGACAGTTATCCGCATGCTGTTAGGAAACAAGACATTCTCAAGAGCCACTCTAGCTTCACTATGCTGTTGTCATTTTGAAGCTTCATTAATATGTATCTGCAAGCCTTACAAGGTTTTGGCCCTCATTACCGCTTAGGAGGAAGTTCCTTACACTATAGAAAACTTCTCATGATATTTTCACATTTTGGGGATTTCCGCGTTTCAAGATCCTCTGCTGTGGCATATATTTAATGTACCCTGAGACTGTAAGCTGCTTATTTTATGTACTTTTTCCACCACACTCTCTTTCCAGAGATGAATAAAGGCACCCACCTTTTTTCAGGCTCTCCTTATCATGCCCTTTATGCTTAACAGGCTGAATCCCTCTGAAACTGCTCAGCACTTCAAACAAATTAGGTTTTCAGTAACAGAAACCATTTGACCATCCTTGTCACAGCAACATGGATTCCACTGAATTTGCATTTCTTCAGCTGCCTCACAGCACAGATCTTAGAACAATCAAGTTCTGCCTACCATTGCAAGTACATGCCCTGCCTTCTATACAACCTGTAAGTATACCCCAGAGACATACACCTCTGCTGTCACCAAGTCTCTACAGGTAGCAGGCTAAGCAAGGCATGCAAGTTCAAACACCAAGATACTCTGAAGGCTTAAGGTAATAATAACATCCCTTGGAGCTCCAAGTTGGATGAAGTCTTACAAGATTATGGCCATCTTTCTCTTAGCACACCATCCTTTACAGAGCCTGATTAGGGAGAGGAGTGAGAAAGCTGAGCCATCCAAGAGAAACACACCTAACAAAAGACTTTGGTCGGTCTCCATCCTGGGAGAGATTTAATCTTACTAGGATCTCCTTAAGCTGGGGGTTGTAGAGGTGAGAGGAAGAGAAGCTATTTTATTGCTCAAAGGTAGACTAATGAAAAGGAACAAAATAAATGGACTAGAAAAAAAGTCAAACTCCAAACCCAAGCCAAAACTAACATTCTTCACAGCTGGAGAACGCGCTGTGATGGAATCAGTATCACCATTATCCCTGATTTAAAGTTCTGTTCTATGACACATCCTGAAGCCTGGGAAAAGCAAAGATCTATTATTCTATCTCTGCAGTTCTATTAAAGAGAGGTTTCACTTCTTTAAAAGTTAAGCCACAAGTAGTAATGACTTGTAAAATCTGTGCCAAATTTAAGGGTGGAGATAGAAGAAAAGAAGTGCTTGTGTCACAAATTTTCTATCTTCTCAATGACGCCACTGGGGTTTTTTTGGGGAAGACTACTAAAAATACGGATTACCCAACCTCCCAGTCAATTAAAGGATGTCAGAGGCTCATCCAATTTGACAACCTACTTTCAAAGAGCTGAAGAGTCCTGATGAAGAACATAAAACCAATTCAAAAATCTCTTCTTGGCTCTAAGAAAGAAAGGCAGCCAGACTCATTTCCAACCCACTCCTCCTCCTCTGCATGCTGCAGGACAAAATGTTCCAGCAACAGCTCATCTCACTGGGAAAATTTACATTTGTTTGAATCACTGCTAACAATTTCTCCTCTGTTTCTGGAAGTTCCATCTTGGATAAAGACAAGATCACAAGATTTTAGATTATTTCCCCATAACACAAATGGAGGTGTTTCTTAACTATCAGAATTCCATTTATTCTACATATGGGACTAAAATGACCCAGGGAGAACACAGAAGGTTGTTCCCTCTTATCTGTTCTTTCACATCATTTCCTAGTCTTTGCTTAGAGAGTAACATGGAACCCTTATTACCAACAATCCCATAATGATGTACTTAGTCAGCTCCCAGCAGAAGAAAAGGATTAGCTAGAGTCAAAATTCCAACTCGGATAAGTAGGCCCTTTAAAATATTATCTCTGCTTCAGCAAGCCAAAGCAGCTAATAACCCCAGCAATACTAACTCTACATCTAGATGATTTTGCTACTAGACTCTAGATGAAAGACGTGATTTTTTTTCCCCTCCTGACACTTTCAGTAGCATTTCAGAATTGAAACATCACACCAAACTGATTAAGTTTTAACAGAGCATTGTCTGGCCCGTCCTAGTTATGCTTGAAGCAAGAGTAAGTTGGAAGACCAGCTTTTTAGAAACTGCTAAAGTAGTATTTTGTGCCATCTGAAAAAAGCTGCATAACATCTAGTTCCTTGCAATGCAAAATTCTAGTTTCCAAGTGGAAAGAGAACATTCTACTCCTAGAACGACACGTTAGGTACCACAGTGCTAAGAAGTTCACAGGGAGGCTAAGCATTCCTTGTAACATAAGGCTATTATTAATAACTTTTAGCCCAGAAGGGTTTTCGATAGCTGGCATTTAGAAAGAATTATTTGGACTCTATCCTTT